TAAGGACCTCCCTGGGCCCTTCAACGAAAAAGGACTCCAAAACCTGAGGCAAGAGGCAAGATCAGGATCAGCAGGACCACTGTCCGGAGCCACTGAGGATCGTACAAAGGCTCTTGTAGTCCTTGAAGGCTCCGAAGGCAACGCTTCACTATATACTCCTCCATTTCTTTTTGCTGTGCCAGGGGGGTGCCAGGGGAGTCGGTCCCCACCTTCTCAAGATATGGTTGGAGGTGTAGGGTGAGTGAGTTTACGATGGTTTACGTGGATCTCTCTTGCGTGTGGGAAAGGTGTCCTGCTTGCTTGACAAATGCTCATCAACTTGCTTGATTTCAACAAGTCAACGGTCACTCCGGCGATGGGTCCTCCGGCGAAACTCGGAGCCCATGTTCGTTACAGCAAGGTCGCCCTCCCAGCCAAGCTTGATACACTCGTCAGGACCCTCGGACTGATTGAGATCAGTCCGAAGCTCGTAGAGGTCTGATGATCAGTCCAAGAGTCCAAGGGTCCATAAGATGATAAGCTTAGAGATAAGCTAAGAGGGTCCATCATCTGAGAGGTAAGAGTTATCATGAGGCTTGATCCTCCTTCACCTGCCAAAGTGAAACTCCCTCTGACATCCCGACTGCGTCGGGTGCTGCCACGGCACGGGGGGTCGTTGAGCAAGAAGGCCAAGCCCCAAAAGAGCAGAGCGGCGATGAGATCCTCGGTAGATGGGGGGGAGAGTGAACCTGGATTTTGCTGTCCAGGAACCTGGAAAAGCATAACAATGATTCCCCATTTAATCATAGGGACCAATAGAAACATCCCCTTAAGCCGTAAGCATAAACCGGCCAGGAGAAAGGGGGGGCATCCTTTCTCTTCCACAAGATGCTCATCCCCCGTCGTGTGTGACGCTCTGAAGGTCGATCATCTCCCCTCACATCGGCGTGCGGAAGGGGGCGGAGGCTCCCCAGCCGCCCCCAGGGGTCCTGGTCTCGCTGCTGAGCGATGGGAAGAGTGAGTTCTCCTCACTCCCGAGCGGGTTGTGCTGGGCAATTCGAGGTATTATCATACCCAGACACTCCATGGGGCTGCCATAGATGCCGATCAGTTGGGGTGGTGGTTTGGGGGATCTTTCTGGGGCGGCAGTCCGTCCTGGCAGTCCCAGACAGGTCGTGTCTGGGATAATTGTCTTCCACACTCTCCGTCTCCACCTCTTCTTGTCTCCGGGCTCGCAGGTGATCCACCGAACCTCTGAAAACGCCACCGAACCAGCCCCAGGCACCAGTAAGAAGGTGATGAGATGCGCCACGGAGGCCTCTTCCCAAGCGAGTTCCTTATAGGTGCTTGGCAGCGGCGAGCCACCATCCAGCGGCAGAGAGCCCAGGCGCAAGCGGTTGGGACTCGGTCCCTAACATCCACCTAACATACTCCAAATCTAAATGAACTAGACTAGATCGGACAAGCACCCTGCAATTGGCTACAAGCCCGTGTCAAGAAAAGGTGATGAACAAAGAGGAGATTGACATGGAAATATGGGTTGAGATAAAAAAGTTGACAGTTCGACCCCCCCCTGGAAGAAGGAATCATAGACCAGTCTACCCATCAGACTAGGGGGTCCCCCTATTGAAATGCACCCATGTAAGGGCTCTTCGGGGGCAGGCTTGCACCACTTGCACAGCAGTTCTGAGTATAGACATGCTGTGCCAAGCACAGGGAATCCCTGCGTACAAATCCACAAAAAGTGAACCAACCGGGCCACCAACCTCTTCCCGGGCTCTTGGCCCACCAACCTGGAAGTCTCCCTCCGGTGCTGTTCTGCTAAGGGGTCTTTATGGCCGACACCCTGACGGTCGCACCTCCAGTGGTGGAACCCCACGGCTCCGCTCCGCTCCGCCCAAGTCGCGATGATGGCACGGGCGCCCTTCTCGTCGAAGACCCTTTCGTTGAGACCGGAGGCCAACACCCACAGCACCTGGAGGCATCCATCCGTGGAGGGTAGCGCTTTCGCAGCTGAACTTTACGACGGCTACAGCATTCTACAGCTTAATTTTGCAGCGTTACAGTGTTTCGCAGGCGGTCTACAGGTCGTTTCGCAGCTTCATGTCGTCGGCTTTACTTGAAGAAAGCACACCTATGGAAAACAACAAACATTAAAAAACACTGGTCACTGAGGCGTGCATTGAAAAAAGAAATTCACTATAACACTGTAGGCATCTCTAGTTTTCTTTCTTTGATGCTTCAACAATCTCAGACTTTGTGCTTCAGCTTCCTAAGCAGCATCCTGTGACTCATGAATACTCCTGATGCTTTCTTGTCATGCATGTCTTTCCAACCAAGCCGTGTTGTTCCCTACGTTCTCTCCTCCGCTCCCCACCGTCTTCGCCCACCTCCGGCTCACAGTGAAGGCCAGGAAGCAAGCTGCGCCAAATCTCCACGGGAATCCTCGGACGACTTCCGGCCGCTATCGGACACGAACACTTTGAAGTACTTTCAAGCCATAAAGGGAGGTGTGAATCAATCAGTCCACTAGTACTCATCCATCCTTCTTGGCAAATACGTGTCCGGACATGTTTGACCTCATGTGGATGACCGATGTCCGGCGTCGATCACGGCGTGGAACGATGTCCGGCACCGCGGTCCGGCAGATCCGGGACCGGAGTGATCAGCCAGGGATCTTGGAGTTGTCCGGCAAGTTGTCGAAGCGATGTGGCAGCAGCTTCGAGAAGAAGAGCTCCTCCTCCTGATGTGGGGGACGACTTCGTTCGTCTCCGATGGATGGTCCGAACGGTGTCCTTGTTGGGACAGGGAGCAGTTTTGGATGGCCAAGCCGCCAAGCCCTGGACCCTGCTTGAGTTCAGCTGTCCAAGAAACAGTGCCGCAGCCATTCCATGTGACCAGGTGGTACATATATGAATACAGATCTATGTTTATAAATGTATATATATTTATCTATCTTAATATATCTATCTATTTATAACTATTTCTCTAGCTCTCTATATATAGATATATGTGTGTGGTTGCATATGTTTGCATCTATATCTATATCATTATATATTCTATATCTATCTATCATTATCTATCTATCTGACTAACTATCTACAGACTGAGCCACCAAGGTGCTAGTATTATAAGAAAAGTATAGACACCCCCTCACCATGACCCGTGAGCCCTGGCAAGACGGGGGGTTGTTGGTCGACCGCAGCACCAAGGATGGAACGAAGACCTGGCTCGGTCTGCCGTCAAAGCAAGACGTTTCGCCCTCACTTGCCCCATGCTGCCATCAAACTCAAGAGTCCCCAAACTACAAGTAATACTTGAGGCCAAGGGGGGGGCGAAAGCTAGCGCTCCAGAATGGGAAAGTGGAGGGCAGCGAGGTAGGAAAAAACACGGCGCTCTTTTTGGAGGCAGGGGTGAAGAGTCCTTTATATGTGGCTCTTTGCCCGGATCCTCCTGCGAGAGAAGAGAGAGAAGAGAGACGGAAAGACGAGAGACAGAGAGGAGAGAGAGAGAGAGAGAGGAGAGAGAGATGAGAGAGATGAGAAAGAGATGAGTGAGAAAGAGATGAGTGAGAAAGAGATGAGTGAGAAAGAGATGAGTGAGAAAGAGATGAGAGAGAAAGAGATGAGAGAGA